GATGAATTGAAAATTCTCATCAAAGCCCCTGGGGCGTGGCTCAGCGGACCAGGAGGTCACTGTTCGATTCCCAGTCAAGGCACATGCTGGGGTTCCGGGCTGGATCTCCAGTGTGGGGCGTGCAGGAGGCAGCCTATCAGTGATTCTCTCTCATCATTGATGTTTCTATCTCCCCCCATCCTCTCTGAAATCAATAAAAATCTCTATATATTTTTTTAAATCCTCATCAAAGCATTCAACCAAAAACCTTACCCAGCTTGCTTTAGAAATCACTGAAGAGTCTAGAATCCAGATTTGGTTTTAGAGTCGAGCGAAGCACCGAGTCCAGAGAAGATCACAACCTGAGGAGGACTTAGAAGCAAGCCAGGGCAAAGGTCACCTTGTAGAGAAGACTCAAAGTAGAGAAGGTAGACAGTGCCATACCAGCTGCACTTCCTCCCAATTACACACCCTCAGCATGGCGCTGCCAACAACCTGTGTCCCGGGATTGATTCCAGAGAACAACTTGCTAAGGAAGTTGGGGTACCAGAGTCAAGAGTCCAAATTTGGTTTCAAAATCGAAGATCTAGGTTAGGAAAAAAAAATCCCGAGGATGACTCATAAAGACCCACATGATCTAACCCTTAGCTCTCTATCTTCATCTCATGCTATACCGTCCCTTATTATCTATACTCCAGCCACATTTCTAGTTCTGTTCGTTTGCCCTATTCCTTCTTATCATAGGGCTTTTGCACAGGCAGTTTCTCTACCATACATTTGTACGTAGGTAATGCCTATTCATTTGTAAAGTTTCAATTTAAGCATAATTTCCTCTAGAAGGCTTCCCTGGCATCTCTAAACAAGAAAAAAAAATCCCTTCTTCCCTACATATTCCCAAGTACATCTCCTTTGTAATTTCACATAAAGCAACCACTTATTTATATGATGGTGTTTTTTAAAAATATATCTTTATTTATTTCAAAGAGGAACGGCGAAAGAGAGAGAGAGAGAGAAACATCAATGACGAGAGAGAATCATTGATCAGCTGCCTCCTGCACACCCCACACTGGGGATCGAGACCACAACCCAGGCATGTGCCCTGACATGGAATCGAACCATGACCTCCAGGTTCATAGGTCGACGTTCTACCACTGAACCACCGAGGCAGGGTTAT